GTCCTCAAACTTTTTGAACAAGGGGCCAGTTCACTGTCCCTCACACCTTTGGAGGGCCGGACTGTGGGGCCTGGGACGAGTCAGCTGCTAAGCAGGATAGGCAGCAGCAGCAAAAACACCTGGTGGGCCGGATAAATGTCCTTGGTGGGCAGCATGTGGCCCGCAGGCGGTAGTTTGAGGACGCCTGGGCCAATTCTCTTGGCAGCCTCCCAAGTAGTTGGGGCCATAGTCGGCTATTTTTTGGTTGCAGTTGTCATCGTTGTTTAGCAGTCCTGGGCTGGGTTTGAAATCGCCAGCCTTGGTGCATGTGGCTGGCACTGTAACTACTGTGCTATAGGTGCTGAGCATTTTTCCCCCCCGCCATTAGCACCTTGTCTTTGGTCTAGGATCAGGTGAGTGAGATTCAGGATATCAGAGCCACCTGTGGCCATGTACTAATGGGCAGGGTTTTCTCCCAGAGCAGTGTTAACTGTCTCAGTGACTTCCCTGGTGTGCAGTGCCTCCTATGGTGCATCCTATCCCTTGGGGCACCAGCCCCTCCTGCAGGGATCCTCCAGGGAGCTCTTTAACCTGGCTTCCTGGGGTAAGGAAAGACCAGCATGGAGACACATTGGTGGATCATAAGGTGGGCACTTAATTACCTCCACCAAACACTTCCTGATTGCTCTCCAGAAAGTCCACACCAGTCTCCATCCACTCCAAGGCAAGGACCCCGATTTCCTACACACAAATGGCATTGTCTGACTTCCTGTTGCCTCCAGTGCTATGGGTATAGCAGCACTGTATCTTGTCATTTTAATTGACATCTCTCTGATTACTAGTGTGTCTGGGTGTCTCTGCAGGAGCATGGTAGCCATTTGGACTCCCCCTTCTGTGACCTGGCTGCTCCTATCTGGCCCAGCTGTCTGCTGGCCTTTGTACCTTGCTTCCATACCATGTGCTAACCAGTATATCAGGTTTGGCTACTCCAGGGACCATGAGTCTCTTTAGGATGCCTTTGACTCTGGCCCGTCATTTATATTTCACAGTGTAATGGACCAGGAGGTAAGTTTGTCATCCTTATTTCAAAGTTCTCTGGTGGTGGTGGGGGGAACACCCAAGGATGTTCCCCATGGAACACTCACACCATTCCGATATTCAGTTTTTCAACAGCAACAGATAACACCCGATGAGTGCCAGGCTCATGTCATTAAATCGCTATAACTGAGGGAGGGACTGTTACATTTGAGTGACATGAGAAACTGAGGCAGGCAATGGTTAATTAAGTGGCATGCCGTATGGGTCATACATGTAAAAGTGACCCAGCGAGGATGCTATCTGTAGCCTAAACATGAGATACGTGTTAGTGTAGCTCAGATTATATCTACTTCAAATAACTGCCGTGTCCTAGGTGGCTCTTACCTAAGTGGAACTCAGGAATTATCACTCCTAAATATTGAAATTTAATGAAAAAGCCAACCCTGGTGGTACCTTTGCACCTTCTCAGTCCCTAAATTCCAGAAAGGGTGCAAGTGGTGAAGGCAGAAGGCAGGGTGACTGAGCCCACCAGTCTGCGTTCCCAGGGAGAACAAATAAAAGTTATGTTCAGTAAGCGGCTTCCTCAAAGCCTGGTCCTCAAGGAATGGCCTTCAGCAGGGGAGAGGGACCGGAACGTGCCCTTCCCCTCCCAGAAAGGTACTTCTCGCTCAGGGGCCCACAGTGGGTGTTTAATGGGCATTTACAGTGTTCTGGAGTCTCAGTGATGAGCGAGTAAGTCCTAATACCTGGGAAAACAGAGATGAGAGATCACACCTGCAGGGGTAAGTCCTCATGGAGAGGCAGAACTTGGAGGCAGTACGGTTCCATTCGGGCTTACGTGTGTAAGAGAGGGACCTGAGACTGGTGATGGGGTTCACAAAGGCATGGCTTTCCCCTAGAAGTGAAAATAGGGCAAATAATGCTTAATAAGGAGGCTGCTAGGAAAAGAAGAGGAAGAACTTCCCAGGAAGAGGAAAGAGAATGTGCAAAGGCCCTGAGGCAGAAAACAGGAACCCCTGTGGCTGGAGGGGGAAGGCAGGGGCTGAGAGGTACAAGAAGAAGTTGTGGATCCCCGAAGGCCCAGAACAGGCAGAGTCTCCTAGACTGGGCTCTTCAACCTGGAATGCCAGGGACAAGCCTGGAATGCCAGAGATACTGGGTATATAGGAAGATTTCCCAAGCTCTCAATTTCCACGTGTGTTCCATTTTAAAACAGATCTAGCAGAGACAGAGCAGGATGAAGGCATCAGAAGGCTCCTCTATCACTTCCCTTCTCAGCGATTTACTGTCTCCAGCTGGGCAAAAGAAACGCTCACCTGGTACCTAATCTGAGTCTGAGCACCTCACTGTGGTCCAGTGTCCAGAGGCACAACATCATCCCAGGCACTGAACAGAGACGATGTGAGGGCTCTAAAAGTCCCCTCCCAGCCACCTCTCACTATACTTCTAATACAATTTTCCTTTTATGTTAAGTATTGGTCAAAGTTCCTGTTTATTTATGATGTCTTGATATTTACATAGCATGGCATTAGTGATTGTTATAATCACAAAATCCTAAAGGGAATTTTACAGCTTTATAGCCATATGAAAATTTTTAAAAGTTAATTCATATTCAAATGTTTGTTGCAGTTTCCCTAACAGGCAAGGTGATGAACATGGACTTTAAATGACAGAAATGTTAAACATAAATTCTGTTGGAAATGGAATGAAAATAAACTTTGGCAGTGTAAAGGACACAATGTAAATTTTTTGACTATGAAAGACAAACCTGTTTTCATTTTTAAGTATGAGATAGTGGTCTTGCATTTTTATAACATTTATATTCCATCAGGCACACTTAAAAAATAGATGTAATAATTATGTGTAATTATATGTAATCATTTTACATATAAAGGTAAATATATGTAAAATACCCCCAAACGATTAAAGTTTATGATAAAAAAAACTCATTTTAGATGCCAGTTTAAAAATGTGTAAGTCATATATATTTAAACAGAGTTCTTTTACGGGGTGCCACTGAAAACTTTGAAGACTCAGTTATAGGCCACAGGGCTCTGGGGTGGTGGCAGAGACCTGGCAGAGGAAGAACAGGGCTAGCATTTTCTCTGGGCTGGAGTTTAGTGAGGCTTCCTGTGTCCACCACTGTGATGTCACTACCAGATTGTCAGAATGTAAGCAACCCCACAGCAGGGATTTCTCTGGGTCTTGCTGTGTCCCCAAGCATCAACCATGTGCCTGGCGCATAATAAGCACCCATTGCATGAATTAACACCAAGTGCCCAGCACATAGTAAGCACCGACTGCATGAATTACCACCACCTGGCTGGCATATAGTAAGCACCCACTGCCTGAGTGAACAGTTGACACCAAGCTTTCCCTTTGAGTGGGGTGCAGTGCTAAGTGCTGTCTGTGCATCCCCCCTCTCTCCCAACGACCCTGAAGTCCAATCAGTATCCTTGTTTCAGAGGTAGGGAAAGTAAGGCACACAGAAGCCACATAACCTGCCCAAGGTCACCAACCAAGGAAGTAGCAGGCTGCCACCCAGGCATCCTGACAATGGTCCTTAACGGAGACGCTTCTCTGTCCCCCTAGTCCCTGGGTAGGGCCTGTATCAGTGGGTTCTGTCTGGAGCAAACACTCTGGGGCACTCCAGGAATATGACACATCTCATATCCATCTCAAACAGCTCCTCTCCCTGAGCTCTCCTCCTCAGCACTTGCCTTCTCTCCTCCCTGTTTAATATTTAAGTTGCACATATCCTGGGACATCCTGGAGCCCCGTGTTCCTGACCCACTTACCTATTCAACCATCTTTTCTCACTCATGGGGTGGGGGTAGGGTCACAGGGAGAAGCATGGGGTGGGGGTCTCTGGAAGGAAATAAGGAGGTAGAGAGAGTGGGGACAGTCACACATCACACTATGGCTCCAAGTGGCCTCCTGCTGCCAACCCAAGCAAACATTAATAAAACAAGGTCAGACTCTTTTGCTAAGAGACTGTGACAGGGTAACATTTATTCTAAGTGGCTTTCCAAGAAAACAGCTCCTGTTCCTGCAGGCACTCCTGCCACTCCCACCCCGGGCCTCCTGAGCTCCAGAGATGTCAGAGGGGCATCTGTTCATTTTCCTTTGTTTATAAAAAAGACTTGGAACTCAGAGGTGGACTCTTCGCCCTGGGGAGTGAGGACAGCAGCTCAGAACGGGCCACAGAAGGGTACTCCGCCTCTCTCCGCGGTCTCTGCCCCAGACCTCCTGGGCATAGCATGAAGCAGGGCCAGCACACAGGGCCTGGGTCACCTGCCATCTGAGCCCTTGAGCTAAAGTGCCAGGCACTCACCAATCTCCAGGGTGCCTCGCCCAGGTAGCCCCAGAGACCCACACATGCTGCTCCCACTTTCCCACACCTGGACTCAAGGGCTTGGGACCCTCCTCCTACTTCCACTGGGGGGGTGACACTGAGAAGTGTTCCCCCACTTCCATGTCACCAGCTTGAGGGTGCCCAAGGCTCAAAGGCTCCAAATGGCATCCAGTATTGTGTCTCAGAGGGGAGGAGACGATGAGGTGCAAAGTGTGGCTTCCCCAAGAAAGAGAAGTCTGTCCCTGGTCCCCAATACCTATGATCCCAGGCGCACTTAGTCCAGGGCCATTGGTTCAGTCCAGATGGCTCACTTCAGGGACACTGAGACCACCAGACTTGTTCACAGCAGAAAGAAGCACTGATACGTGCCTCCTCACCTTGGCCCTGACCCTTCACCTCTCGCGCAGAGCTCCTGACTTCTTCCCTCTGTGCCCCAGGTCCAGGTCCCCAGAGCGCGAGGCAGAGACCAGGAGGGTCTGCGCTGGGGTGAAGGCGGAGGCGGCGACAGGGCGGCGGCGGCCCCTCCTGCTAGCGACGGCGCCCCAGACCCCCGCCCCCGCTTTCGCGGTCCGTGACGTCAGAGCCGGACCCGGTAAACTGAGCGGCGGCGGGCGCTGGGGCGGAGACTGCGCCCCGGAGCCGCCTGCACGGACGGAGCCCACAACGGCCAGGGCAGTGCCGCGGCCAGACGCGGAGGACCTGAGCAGGCAGGCGCAGGCGACCCCGAGGTAACGGCGGCCGCGCTCCCCGCCCACGGGGCACGGCGCCAGAAGCTACCGAGAGAGGGCGGGGGACCCCCAAATCCCCGCACGCGGGGTTCCGGGAAACCCAGGGAAGGTGGGGTGCAGGGCGCAGGCAGGTGGCGCGTTTCCAGCGCGCAGTCGGAGAGGTGGGAACCTCGGGGGCGGCGGGAAGCAGGGCAGCGCCCGGGAACCCCAGCCTGGGTCCCCGACGGCGCTCGCGGACGCTCTTCCCCGGGAACGCCGGCGCTGTGCGGACGCACTCGGGGCCGGCAGGCGGAAGCTGGGGCGCCAGTGTGCGCGGCCCCCTGCGCGGGGACTCGTGGACTGGGGGCCCGGGTCGCGTCCGCCCCTCACCGCGAACCGCGTCCACAGCTGAGCCCCGGAGCCATGGCCCTGACCGAGCTGGCGCTGCTGCGCTGGCTGCAGGAGAGACGCCACTCGCGGAAGCTCATCCTCTTCATCGTGTTCCTTGCGCTGCTGCTGGACAACATGCTGCTCACCGTCGTGGGTACGTCCGGACTGGGCGCTTCCCTCCCCGGAGCCCCTTCCCTGGATGCCCCCTTCCTCGTGATCCCCGCTTTCTCGGGCTCGGCCTTCCCTGGGAATCTCCTTCCCCGGGCGACCCCGTCCTTCAGCGCCCCTTCCTCGGGAGACCCCATAGCCAGACGCTGTACTTATCCCAGGGCGGTCCTGGAGCTCTGCGCCAGGCAAGGAAAGTTGGAGAACACGCTTTGCAAAAAATACATCCCCCTCCAGACAGCCGCTCCTGGGCTAGGAGGAGCTGTGTCCCTGGCTGTGGCTTCACTTTCCCAGCGGTCAGGTCTAAAACTGTGACATCTGATAAGACCCAGAACTTGTGTTTCCTCCTGATAATGTCCCGCTTCCTCTCGCCCGTTTTCACCGCGATGAAAAAGATTTCTATTAAAGAAGAACAATTCCCAGAGTTCAAAATAAGGTGTTAGAATAATTATTTTGTCGTCTGAAAAGGCGACTTAATAATTTGGTGTAACATATAAAAAACCAAGTCACTATCCATCCCTCCAAAAAAGGAAGTGACATTTAAATCTATTGTGTGAGTGAATGATTTGGGGTGGAAACCTTCAGGACCCAATGGGAGAACAGTGTGAACAGGTGGGTTTCCTCCTTTTTCCTATAATGGATTTTTGAAAAAGGAAATAATTTAAATCCAGGCCTCTTAATTAGCCCCATTAACAGAAGAGTATTTGGCATACTTTTTTAATAAAAAGTCTATTTTAATTAATAAGGAAATCATTTTTCATTTAGATTCTCAGGGGTGTCTGCCGTTTCTCCCCATTTTCAGGTTCTGGAATGGTAGCAGGTTCGCACCTCCAGGAGCACCAGCTCTGGGCACTTCTGTTTTCAGTAACATGGGCCTCAGTTTTCCTCTAGTTTGAATGCTCAGCTTGCACACACATGCCCTAAGTTTCTATTATTTTGCTTTTCTTTTAAGAAGTCTTAGTAATTCTTAAATCTTACAAGTTGTATGAAAAATGGCAGATCCCCACGCATATAATGGAAAGATGAGTAAGGCCTGTTGTAGAATTTCCAAATTATTCCTTGTTACAGGAATAATTCCTTCCTGAATTCCTTCCTGAAAATTCCTTCCTGAATTTTTTTCTAGGATACATAGTGAAATTTAGATTTCTGTTTCTTTGATTTGTTCTTTTGAGCTCTTCTTTCTGAGAAGTACCGAGTGGCACTGGGTCATCTTGACTTTGGACCATGTTTAAATCTCAGGGCAGTCAGTTTACTATAGCCGCTGCCCCTGAGAGTAGAGGACCCCTCAGAGCCTCTGGGGGCTTCATGCTCTCTGGGGAGTAGTGTGATCGTCCCCCAGGATGGGGCCCAGGAGTAGAAACAAGGACACAGGGGCCATGTTGCTGGGTGTTATCTCTCTGAGCCTCTCTGACATTTGACGTGATGTACTTGTGCTGGCTTTTGTCCTGATCACCACCCTGCTGTCCATCTCTCCTTCCCAGTCCCTATCATCCCGAGTTACCTGTACAGCATTGAGCATGAGAACACTACAGACACCCAGACCTCCAGGCCGACGCTCACGGCCTCCACTGGGGACAGCTTCCGGAACATCTTCTCCTATTACGACAACTCTACCATGGTCACTGGGAATGTCACCGGAGACCTACAGCAGGGGCAGCTGCGTAAGGCCACCACACCGCACATGGTGACCAACACGTCCTCTGCCCCTTCTGACTGTCCCAGTGAACAAAAAGACCTTCTGAATGAAAACGTGCAGGTTGGCCTGTTGTTTGCCTCGAAAGCCACTGTCCAGCTCCTCACCAACCCTTTCATAGGGCTGCTGACCAACAGGTAGGGTAGATTACTGTAGCAGAAGAGTTACCGATTTCTGTCATTCCAAGGTCACGTACCCTCTGGAATTCTGCTTCTTACTCATTTGTAGGAATCTGGACCATCCATGGTGGGTGAGCTAAGGGAAACCAGTCTCCTCTTTATGTCTCTGTCCTCATATAATCATGATTTTTCCTTTATTCCACCTTTCTGTTCTCCCCTCTGTCGTTCAACAAGTAAGAAAATCTTAAAGAAGACAGAACAAAGAGGCCGTCCCTAGGTGGGAGAACTTTGGTGTGAGTGCACGGTTCATAAGGATGTTTGTCAGCATCACCCTTGGGCAGCAAAACGCTGCAGCTGTCATGGCTGTCCTCGGATTCTGTGTGCCATGTGGCTGCCTCTTATTCTCCACCTCTGGTTGTGCACTTCGTATGGAAAGCCAAGGTGACTTAGTGGGCTGGCGTGGTAAAGGCTCTGGTAGATGGCCAGCCAGGGAGTGTGGGACGAGGCCGAAACACCACTGCAGAGATGGAACTCTCAGCTTGCTAAGGTCATGACTGTGTTCTTTCCCTTGTGCTGGTCCTGTGCACAAAGGGAAGAGAAGTGAGATTATTGTCTAGATAATCCAAGCTGTCCAGGTTAGCTTTATATTAATCAGGATGTTCTAGATTTATTTGGTACAAGCGTTTTTACTTCTCCATTGTTGGAGACCATTCAGGACATATTTGTCCTTCTGCTTAGGTGCCACAGTTTGGTCTGGTCTGTGGGAGCTCAAAGCACAGGACAAGGGGCTTGGAACGGAGGGGAGAAGGCAGTACTGGAGGGTATTGGAGCTGGAAGGGGGTCAATGCAAGGATGGGAGCAGGTGTAGCTGAGGGAGTTGGTGGTGGGCTGCCAGGTGACGGTGTAGTCCCTCGGGGCCCAGGAATAGAAATAAGGACTAAACTAGAAAATGTGGTGGGTGGAGGGGTGAACTAGAGGGCAGGGCTGAGAGAGGAGTGGGTTACTGTTGTGGGGACAGTTGGGAGCCATGAACGATTCCAAAGCCAGGTTGAAAAGTCAGTGAGCCACACACAGTTGTAAGTCGGTCAGCCCAGCGTTCCCAGCAGGCAGGGAGCAGGGAGTTCTTCACACCTACCTGGACTTTGGGGTCAGGAGTTCACATATTATTAAGCATTTCGACAGGGTATTAAAGCAAGTGTGTGGCCCTTCTGACAGCAGAGCCCTGTGTGGCTCAGGGGGTGGAGAGTCTGTGATAGAAGGAAGCTTGGGGTAGTGGGGGCTCACCAAGGGGTGGCAGATCTCACCTTACCTGAGCACCAGCTGTCTTGGGACGTACAGATGCTCCCATGATGAAGCGGACAAATTGATTTCCTGGACTGAGTGGTGCCACTGAATGGATTTTAACAATCCCAAGCCATGGCCAGCCTTCGAGTCTGTGCTGAGAGCAGTATCATAAGGCTGCCACCTAAAAGGTGCTGAGCAAATTAACCTGGCGATGGGCCGACTGTGAGCCCCCCAGTACCAAGGTGACGCTGAGCGGCACCTCTCTTCTCCCGAGGACAACCAGACAGACCTCAGTAGTTGCAGGATTTTCTTCCTTTTATCCAGACTAAGAGCGCTTATTAAAATGCATCAGGTATAATTACAGAAAATGGCTCAGGGTTTTGTATTCTGAGAAAGCAAACAACTCAAATCCTGTCTGTGAAAATTGAGGACATTATCGTAATAATGCCTTGCCAATCACTTGGGCAGACCCCTTACCACCAAGGCAGTGTCATACTTAGAAACTCTGGCCGAAATGATGTGAGTATTCTACTCTCGCAAATGAAAATGAAAAGCTTTTTGAAAATTCCATTCTTGTTTTTAATGCTTTGCTTGTGTCGTGGGGGAAAAGCTTGCTTAAAACCAGTCAGACCTTTCCCTTGTTAAATGCTCCAAATGCAGTGAGGTTGCAGCCACCACAGCTCATGTTTGGGGCTCAAAAAAAGAAAAGAATTGTCTTCCAAGAGTAACCTAACTTGTGTGACTTGTGAAATTTAGTCTATTCTCATGGTGATTAATCCACTTTGGAAATGATCTAAAGCAAAATTTTAATCCCCAACTGGTTCACCTAGCTACACAGCAAATTTAAATATGATCCTTATCTTGTAGTGTTTCCTGGTAATGTGGATATGCAAACAAATTTTAATGTTGGTGTAGCTAAGACAATTAATTGAACTCTGTTGCCCCTTCAAAATGATCGTGATTTGTAGTTTAAAAAAATAGTTTCCAAACCCAGTAGATACGTCTTTAGGGACCTGACTGCTTTTCTGGGCACTGCTTCCTGCCAAAGTTCAGTGACATAGACAGGACAGATACATCCCATTTGCCTTGGTAGTCTATCCTAGTGAGCCATTGCAAATTGTCTTTTGATTTAATTTTGTCAATCGCACCCTCAACAAGACGCGTGACTCACATTTTCAGGGTTGTAAGCAAGTGTATTTAAGATAGCATTTTAAAATTGGTTGTATGTTTCTCTTTAAAGAGTAGTTAAAAATATGGTGCATCAGAGATCACAGAGGCTTTATGAAAAGCTTTTGGTCCAGTATTACTATCTTTTAGGCAAAGGAGTTTGCAGCTCTGGAGGAGAAAGGGTTGGTCACAGCAGTGGCAAGACTAGAGCCCAGGTGTCCAGACTGTCATGTTCCAAGGCATTGCCCTTCTCCCTCCCTGTTCTTATATCATACAGTTTATACTTCTACCCGCTAAAAACAAAGAATGCAGCTTAAAATCTTCCTTGCATTTACTTGGACTCTCCTTGATTGTGTCAGGCTGACCTGGGAAAGGCCCAAACAGTGGGTATTTTTTTTATCAATGAGCAGAGTTTAGAAAACATTAACCTGATTTTTTAGACATGGATTTTCCATGGTCCCAGAAAAATACAGTCTTTTTCTAGCTCCTCATGTGAGCTGGTCTGCCTCCTACATCTTCAAAGATGTGGGGAAAGCTGGCTAGGGTCAGGGCAGGTCAAAGCATTCCTTTCTGAAGGGGGACTGACTCTGAAATGAGAGACCTCATAGCACACATGGAACACCCAGATGTGGGTACTTATGGTCATCATAGTGCCATGTGAGTGGCTTTTTAAGGCTGTCTGTCTGTTGTTTTAAGCTCTCATGTCAAACCCTGAAAATATAAAGTAGCAGTTCTTGGTGAGTGTTTCGGTGTTCATTCAGCTGGTGATACAATACAGGTTACTCCTGTTGTATTTATTCTTCACGTATTCTATTTTTTACTTAAAATATGTGAACCAGGTTGGTAGCAAAGGACCTTTGACTTTGGCAATGTAGAGATTACACATCTAATAACCCACTTTTCAAAGCCTGAGGGTGCCTGGGTTGACTTGGAGGCTCTTGTGATTTATTTTATAATTCCAATTAACCTACTGATTTCACAATTGCAGTTGTGTGTAACAAGGTGGTAGCAGGAATTGTACTGGTGACACCTGTCATCATTTGGTCCAGTCACTGAATTTTAGAATAAAGTAGAATAAAAAGAATGTCTCAGGCAAATAAACGTGAGATACCTTTACATCCCCCCCCTCCATCTGTCAGGTAAAGACGTGGCATCAGCCTAAGATTCAAACAGAAGTTGCATCTTTAATACCAAAAGATACTCCATGCCAAACAGCTGGTGTGGGAAAGAGTTAACTCCATTGCTGGAGACGCTTCCAGTAGCTTCCTCCGTAGCTTGTCATTGTCTCGGTGGTGATCTGCTTTCTATCAAGTCATCGTCAGTGGCTTAATTTATTTCCATAGTTACCTCGTATGTTCGAAAGCAGTTCTTTTTCCTCACAAATCTTAGCTAGCATCTGAACGGTAAAGAGGAAGCCACAGGGCATGTAAACTGTATGAAATCTACTGTGCTTATCTTTATTTCCTAGCCTCAGCCAGTTGCTCTGACATGGGCTTGGTGGGAATAAGCAGTGACCTTTTCAGCTTGTCCTTGGACAGGGAAACCAGCTGCTCTGAAAAGGGATCTCCCATCTTAGATGCTGTGAGCATGGCAGGGAGGGTGTGATGGGTCTTTGCTTTTGCAATAGAGGAAAGTGGCCGTGGAATGTCAGCATTTCTTGTGGGATCAGAGGCTGCGTGTGAGCCAAGGCCTTCCACCTGGGAAAGTGAGACATCTGTGGCCCACGGACCACCCTCCTGGGAGAAACAGGCAGGCAGCCCCCACAGCTCACCTTGAATTGTGTTTCATTTCCTAAGTAGCTGACAAATTTTCTGTTATATCTGAGCACATTTAAAATATCATTCTGTTTAGTGCGTTCATATACCAGACTACCTTTTGGGAGTGTGCAGAGATCACTGTAAGGGAACCTGGTACCTCTCATCCCATCTGGGGATGGTCTGCACCTAACTGGGCCCCCTTCCTTTTGTCATTTACCGCAGAAGAGGGAATGTCATCTTAGCAGTCCTGAGACTAGAGCATTCAGTTCATCTCTGTGGCAAAGATGAAGTAAACATTAGCATTAGAGAAAAAGTATTACTGCCAATAACTACGTAGGGACATAATGGGGTTTCTTACTGACTGTCTAGGCATGTATAATTAATATGATTTTTCTTGTTGTAGGAGTTTTTGCAGGGATTCAGGGCATAGTTCTGAGTCTTACTGAGATTGGATTAACTGCTCCTTGATGCTCTTTACAGGAGGCTGGTGGCTGGGATGACTCACACGGGGACAATAATGGGACATATGGTTAAAGGTTTGAGAATCAGACGTAGCTCTGCTCAGGAGTGCTGTAATTGAGATGGCACAGAACTGAGACAAGAGGGCCAGTCACATGTAGATTATGACTAAGGACAGTTGAGTTTCTGTCCATTTAGGAGCTATTGTGGGGAAGGAGAAAGGCCCTTGGCTTTCTGCCCACAGCTCAGTGACCCTGGGGCTTTGGCTGAGTCTCCTACGATGGATGTTCGAGGTGCTGGAAGAGTTTGAGGGTGAAGGCACAGGAAGTGCCCCATCTTGTCTTCTTTGCCTTGGGGCTGAGCTCTGGGGAAAGATGGTACTTGGCATTTTCTACTGGGCACCTCCATCCAGAAAGTACAGTCACAGGTGCATCCAGTAACGAGAAGGTGGTGACAAGAGCCCAGTGGTGTCCAAGGCCACTGGCTTGCTGTGCAGCCTTGAGTGAGCAGCTGTGTCTCTGATCAGACCCCTCGAGGAGGGTTTGATCGGGTCAGCCTTCAAGCTTTCTTCCAGCTTTGCTATTTAATATCCCATACACTCTCTATTAAAATCCCAAAGAAACTAAAACAGCAACAACAACAGCAAGAAAGCACAGTAGCTACAGAATTTCTAAAGCAAAGGCAGTATGTGGGGTGTTAAAAAGAACCTTTTGGTGATACACACCCTTGTGGATTTCAGTGAGACCCTGCGCCCTGCGTCCCAAGAGCTCCTGTGACTGTGTCCCCATCCAAATGTATGCCGGCAGGGCCCAGCAGGCATTAGGCACTCAAAGTATGCCTGTCACCTGGAATTGGGGCAAATTATTTACCTTTCCTGAGCCTCAGTGGTGGCCATCTGAAAAACAGGGCCACCCTGCATGCTGGTGCCCTACTTACAGTCACAAGGAATGCCTAAGTCTCCTGGTGAGCAGGGAGTGCGCCCTGCCAGGGTCCCTCAGCCACTGGCTGGATTGCAGACTGGGTGTAGTATCACTGATGGTTTGGAAGCCACAAACAGAGGTTGTTAAATGTTACCGAGTTTTGTCCTGAAACTGCCCTGTGGTCTTGCCTGTAGTCTGCAAAGGGACCACAGGTGTCTTATTTGGCTTTAGGGATGGCCCTGCAGCCAGAAGGGCTCCATGTCAGACCCTTAGAAATAGCCAAAGTGAAGAACTCGTGAGGGAAGACTTAAGCCCCCAATCCCAGCTTTGACGCTATGTTGGGTCTTTACCCCCTAGACTTTCTGAATGTTTGTGAAAGGGGGTGAAAAGCCTGTGTATTGCATGGTAGCCAGGGATGTTGTCACATGTTTATTCTTTCACAGGACGTGTCATAGTTGCTGAATATAAACTGCCTGTGAGTCCTCGCTGAGCCTCATGGACGTTTCCTTGCTTGGTACCTGGCAGGGCTATGTAAGCCCCGGTTTAGGCTTTCTGTGTCTGCTGAGTAACAATCATGGAACAGGACCGGGGCAGGCTGAGAGGGGACGCTGCCATCTGATGGCTGTGTGAACTGTAGCTCAGAATCCTGTCCTCTTTCCTGGAGCCTCCCTTTGTGAATTATGTTTTTATTCACAGTAGGGTCTCTGTTCATGGTTTGTGGGGGAGGGACTGCCTGGGAATCTGTCAGTGATTTTGAGATGCTGTCTGCATCTTTGGTATTTGGTCTCTGGATGCTTGTGAAGCAGATTTGAAAAAAAATAGGGGCAGGAGAAGGTTTGACAAGATTCTATTTAAAGAATAGGTGGTACAGTTTGCAAGGAAAAGCCCTGGACTGTAGGGAGTGGCCCAAGTGAAGTTAGCCTGATGACATTTGATAAGTCATTTTTTCATGCCTCAGTTTCCTCATTTGTGAGATAGGAAATAACCCCAAATTATTGAGCTAGGGGTGTAAGTGCTTACAGAGTTGAGTGTGACCTTGAAATGAAGCTGCTGTGATTATGACTTTTTATTACAACCTGGAAGAGAAGGGTCCTTCCAGGTGAGCCTGAGACTCAAGTTACTTGGTCCTTCTGCTGTCTTGGATTCCATTTGGAATCCAAGGGTCCAGGACTGGAGAGAGAAGAGGCTTGGAGACATTCAGGCTCCTCTTGGTAGGGGCAGATCTGCAGTTGGTCAGGGCTCAGCCAATGCTGGCTCCTTGCAGGGCAGAGAGGCCAGGACCCTCATGCCTCACCTTCGTAGCAAGGACCAAGCTGTCTTCTTAATCCGGCAGAACAGTGGAAAAGAAGAAAGAGAATGAGGGAGGAAATAAAATTTCTGAAGCATCTTCTGTGCTCTAGGTACCCTGGTAGACAGTTTGATATCCATGTCTCTCTCTGTACCCAGTCCTGGGAGGTAGGCAGTGATCTCTTCACAGGGCTGAGAGGAGACTTCCTTGGGGTAAGTGGCAGGGCCAGTGTCCAGACGGGCAAGGGATACAGGAAATGTCGGGGTCTTCCCACCAGTTCTGTTGACCTGGAACCAGACCACTGTGATCTTTGAACAATTCGGATTTTGAAATTTTGCACAGGAAAACAAAACAAAACTGAGGACCGCATTTGCAGGCTGGCCTCACAGGTCAGTAGGAAGGCAGATCTTTAAAATCCTGCTTCCTAGTACCACTTAGATATTGTGCATTTGCCTTTGCTACTAGTGAATCACTATGGCCTTTTATCAGAATCATTTGATTGCACTTGTTCCTTTGGGAGCGCTCTAGCAAAGACTATAATTAAAGGGATAATAATAAAAGATGGAAATCAGGGCCATGTATTTTGGATGTGTTCTGAGTTATTTGCCAATATTGTGTTAACATTTATTCCAGAGAAATTTCTGTTCCGAGTGGCAGTCCGTAAATGTATTCACGTTCCAAGACAGTCAAACATGAAAAGGTCAGGTAGGAAGCACCAAGTATATGAATCTTTAGAAAAATTCACCGAATGCTTATCTGCCTGATCCCAGAGGATAACCAGGAGGGAATCAATATGAAGTCTTAAAAAAATACCCAGCAGTCACCAGATTTTTCTCGTTTGTGTTTTGCAGAATTGGCTACCCGATTCCCATGTTTGCAGGATTCTGCATCATGTTTATCTCAACAATTAGTAAGTGTCTGATGTTTGCTCTGAGTATGGGTCTCAGGATGGGCATTGATGCCATGAGCCGAAAATTAAGAATCCAACCAGGGGGCTTATGTACTGGCAGCAGCTGCAGAAAGGAGGTGACAGAGTGAGGTCTCCCTGGAGCAAAAGCCTGAGGTGGTTAATGTGGAGATGCTCCATGGGTTAAGGGAGGGCTTCAGAAGCCTGTGTGGGACAGGCGCATCCGGTCCTGATGGCGCTGACACGGGTCCTCTCCTCCCGGCAGTGTTTGCCTTCTCCAGCAGCTATGCTTTCCTGCTGATCGCCAGGTCGCTGCAGGGCATCGGCTCCTCCTGCTCGTCTGTAGCTGGTGAGTGCAGGGGGGACTGAGCCAGAGACGGGTAGGGGGTGTCCCTTAGCAAGTTAGCTGGGCTGATTCGGGCAGTCAGGTAATGGGGATAGTGGGGGTTGGGCCGGCAAGGATGCTTGGAGAAGGTGTCCTCCTCGAGCTTGATTCTGCTGGCTCTTGTATTCTAGTTCATCTGACAGGTTTGGGAAGATCACATGAGTCGAGTTGGAGAGGAAAGGCGAGTCACAGATGATTCTTTTGCTGTTGACCATTTCTCGCCCTGTTTAGGGATGGGCATGCTTGCCAGCGTGTACACAGATGATGAAGAGAGAGGCAACGCCATGGGGATCGCCTTGGGAGGCCTGGCCCTGGGGGTCCTAGGTAGGTGAGGTCACTGTGTGGGTACACAGATGCAGGGGGGCACAGCGAGGCTGAGTCCACACCCACACCAGAAGCCCCCCTTTTATTTCTTGCTTGCATGGAGACTTTCAAAGTGGTAGGAAGAGTCCTGAGCTGGAAGGCTCATGGCTTCCTCTGTCTCTGCCTCAAACCTCCCTAGACCCAGGTGGACAGACCCTTTCTTCTAGGACATTCTGTGAGTTATGATCAGAGAGAATTTTCCTGCCTGTCATCTCTGCCTGTCCCAGGTGCCCTGGCTGACCTCCCATGCCAGGGGATGAATGACTTCCCTGAAAGGAGATTTGGAGGCTTCCCCCTTCATCTTTTCTGTTCCCGGCCTTCATCTTGGAGGCTATTGGCTATGCTAGTTTATAGGATGAAGGTCCTGTTTACCCATTTCCTGGGCTGTCAGCAGCACAGCCCTGGGCCTGGACCTGATTTCCCTTGGACCTTTGCTTCCAGGGTGACCTTTACGGTCTCTTGCTCATTTCTCTTGCAGAGAGCCACTTGGAGGAAGTTGCCCCCGAGGCAACTTAGTTCTAACTAAATAGGATGGGGACCGTCACTCCAAATCTCTTTTGGAACAAAGTAAACAGAGAAACAAGAAACAAATGAATGGTTCTAATGGGGGGAGGCGTGACCCTAGTGGCTGACACTGGCCCCCCATCTTCTCCCTGCAGTGGGTCCCCCTTTTGGGAGCGTGCTCTACGAGTTTGTGGGGAAGACGGCTCCATTCCTGGTGCTGGCCACCTTGGTGCTTTTGGATGGAGGTGCGTGAGTCTGCATGGGTGTCTTGTCACAACCTTGTCATCCATGGCAACATGCGCTTGGGGCCACAGCTGCTTTCTAAAGGGAATTGTCTCTTTTTTTTTTGTAGCTATTCAGCTCTTTGTGCTCCAGCCTTCCCGGGTGCAGCCAGAGGTAAGCAGCTGGGAAAGGAGGGCCCTGCCGGGCCACATCAAGGGCCCTAACTCTGTTTTCTCCTGACAGAGTCAGAAGGGGACCCCCCTCATGACCCTGCTGAAGGACCCCTACATCCTCATTGCCGCAGGTGGGGCTCTGCAGTCTTTACGGTCTGGTTGTGTGTGGAGGTGAGGGTGGTTGGCCTGGGCCAATTTTCATTTTGCTGCTAGAAATGTTGGGTCCTAGACCCACAGAAAAGGCAGAGTCATAAGTCACAGGAGATAGTTCTCTTCCACCATTGATTCGTGACACTCAGCCAGGGTTCTTTTATGTTTCCATCTGGAGCAAATAAAAATGGTGTCGGCCGAGCTCTGGAGAGCCCCCTGGGTTCTGGGGAGGTCCCTGCTGCAGCAGCATGTCTTATGCCAAGCTGGCTCACTGAGTTTGAGTCAAAGCCCATCATTGTCTGGCCTCAACTTTCCAGAAGGAGTCTGTAGCCTCAAGGCAGCGGTCTTAGGTGGGCAGTCTGACTCATCTTGCTGTGTTTGAATGGAGACTGACAGGGGAGCCCCACCCAGGGCCACAAGAGGCCTACCTCGGTGCAGCATGGAGGCCACTGGAAACTTTGGCAAAAGGTCGTGCCTTGGAGTCCTTGGCCTAAATGGGTTAAAGGAAAGACCTGGAGTTCTGTGGCTCCTAGGAAGGATAATGGGCTACATTCATCCAAGGTACCGTCCCAGGGCAGCAGGCTGCCTGCCCTGCTAGGTCTGGGGCTGACTAACCAGAGACCAGCCTTATGTGTGGCCAGGCCTGGGTGCTGAGGCCTAAGGCCAGCCGTGGCTCTTGGGGTCAGGCCAGGTGGAAGACTGGCTGTGTGTTGAGGTGCTGGTCTCTGGGACAGCCTGTAGTATGGCCTTGGACTCAGTCAGGACTAGATTTGTCTAAGCAGGGCTCACTGACACTGAGCTTGGCTTGGGAAATGGGCTTGCCCTACCTGAACATATTCAAGTTCAGGCTTTGTCAAAGCCAAGGCTGCTGCTGGATTTGGTCAGGGTGGCACATATGTAACCTGGCCAAGATCCTGTCTGTCATGCTTGTTGGCTAAAGGTGTTGTAAATGAAGCTGGTATTGTAAGCTCTTCATGTAGGATGTAGGGAGCATCCCAGAGCTGAGCTGTCCCTGGGGGGCTCCAGATAAGTGACACCCTGAGCCTTGGGCTTGTTTGGGCAGGGCTGTGTAGCCTGGGCCACTCCTGGCTTGAGCTTTCCTAGAACCTCACTGTCTGGCCCCTGTTCACAGGAGATACTAAGATCTACCCGACTCTGGGCAGTTCCAGGCAGCCTCCACTGGGGGAGGGAGTAGTGTGGGTCTGGAGAGTCCAGTCATTTATAAGTTTGGCCTCTAAATGTCACAGAGAATGAAAACTTCTTTCTTCATTATGTGGGTACCTTCATCACGATTGCACAGTGTTCTTTGAATTTGTTCTAGCAAATTAGAGGTTCCACAAGGCACAACACAGAAAGTTCCCAGAATGAACAGTTCCGTGGGGCTTTTTCCAGGTGTTTCTGTATTTACAAAGGCTTCTGGTTTAACATGGTGATAACAAATATTTGCATTGATACTCTGTGCATACAGTTAACTTTTAAAAGTTCCCTCAGCAACACACCTGTACTGAATGCATTGTGATCCTTTCTGAATTTTCTGGTATCTCAGGGGATCATCAGAAATAACCATGTTTGTTTTACAGTGAAACACAGTCACCAGAGCCTCAGGTGGGCCTGAGAGTGTGTGGGATCTGGAAGTTGCCTGGCTGCTGGGTGGCCTCAAAGATGAGGCTCCCCTTCTTCATTAATAAATGGGGTAGCTTAAACCAAATATTCTCTAAGTTCCCTCCAGTGTCAAGTTTTATGATTCTGGGATTCTAGTTAAAAAAAAATAATAATAAACAACCTTACCTGTCCCTTTGACTTGCTATTTATCCCATTCTTGGGAAGGTAGGAGAAATTCTGGGTGTCTGAGTTACGGGCATATGGGTCTGACCTTGTTGGGAAAGGTGGTGAGGAAGCGGATGTGCACTGACCCTCTTCCTCCCCTAAGGCTCCATCTGCTTTGCCAATATGGGGATCGCCATGCTGGAGCCGGCCCTGCCCATCTGGATGATGGAGACCATGTGTTCCCGAAAGTGGCAGCTTGGTAAGGACTGCGGCCGGCCCTTCTTATTCCAGAACTTGTGTCCCCAGGGCAGGTCCTGTCTGTGTAGCTGAGCTGCCCGTACAGGGATGATAAAGTGATTGCTGCTGTTTGACTGTTAATGGATCATGGCTTAGAGCAGCCCTGGGGTCTGTTTCAGCTCTGGTTTCTCTATTATCCCTGATGGATGCGGAATTGATATAGACGGGTCAGATCTGGAGAGAAATGAGAGGAAAAATTATGGTCAGCATCTTCCCATGTTTCTAAACTAGACTAACTTAACTGGTAAAATGTGGGTGAAAGAAACAAAAATTTAGTTGTTAAGAGGATGTATTTTTGATTTAGAAAAATAATACATATTTATTTAAAAAATCAACATATGTTGATTGAGGAAGCAAAAATTTAAAAATCTAATGTTTATCTTTCCCCCTCCCCAGGCTGGTTCCCTGTAATATCCATAGTGAACAGTTCTGTGTGTCTTTTTCCAGATAGTTCTGTATCTATCACCATGAGTATGAAATGCACATAAGTCCCACCAAGTGGAATTTTGCCGTTTACATTACTGTGTGACCTCTTGTTTTCCTTCATGCATTTTGTGGCCATGTTTTTCCATGCCAGGACATGTAGATTTATTTTCAAAATTCATTACATTTTAATTTTTATCAAAGTTACCCATGTGCATAATTTTAGGTCAAAGTTATAAGAATTATAATGAAAAACATCTGTCTTTGTCCTGCAATTCCTTAATCGCCACAGCCCTCATCAGATTCTATCTCCTATAGCTCTTCTAGTTCTTTCTTCTGCTGAAATCTTTGTCTCTAGGTAGTACGTGTATATTCCTTCTTTCAAACAATTTTCTAGTGTCTGACATTGTCTACCAGCTTCTTAAGATTGTAGGAGGGGACTCGATACCATACTGTACCACCTGAAAGTATCAAATATCCAATTCACACAGTTTCTCACCTCTGCCCTCTCTAAATAATTGCTTTATGATTTTTTGTTAGATGGGCATTATTGTGATTGTGTAAATGTGTCCAAAGCTGGGCTATGTAGGGTGCTGCAATTCATTTCTTTTTACAGACTTGTTTTTTGTTTTTCCTGGAGTTAGTCACTGCCTTATCTTTTCATTTTCTTAGTTTTCTCTGTAGCAATTTTGAGCACATCTACCAAAGTCTCTGGCAGAGATGAAAGGTCTTCCAGTTGGGGTCCAGTGCATTGGCACACCTGACCTTTCTGTGTTTTTGCCTATGCATGGACATCTGTCCCAGATCTCCAGCGGAGATTTGTTGCTGTCTAGGACATGCTGGGATTTTGCTCTCCCATCATCTGGGCATCTTCCCTGCCTCTCTTCTACTGCATTCTTGTCTGTGTTCAGCTCTCCTGGTTTACTCCCTGCTTCTGATGGAGCACACCCTCCAGCAGCTTCCTGGAAGAGGGTGTGGAGCAGCTGGCGCCCTGTAAGATACTGCATCTTTGTAGATGTCTTTATTCAGTCCTTATACTTGGTCAACCTAATCTACATGTATAATTCTTGGTTGAAAATCATTTTCCTTCAGAGTTTGGAGGCTACTGTTCTGTCGTCTTCCAGCATCCAGGGTTTCAGTGAGGAGGCCAGTGGTGTTCTCATTCCCGATCTTCTGTAGGAGCCCAGGGGATCTTCTCTTCCTGTCTAGGTTATGATCATCCATGATGGTCAATTACAGTGGGGTCTGTTTTCCACTGTGCTGGGCACTTGCTCGGTCAACCCTTTCACTTGGGGGAGCCCCCTCTTTCAGTCTTGGGGAGGCTTTTTATTTAATTCCCCCCATCATTTTCTCTCTTTTGTACTCCAGATGGCTGGATATTAGACCTCTAAATTTTATTTGGTTAGTTTGTGATCCTGTCCTTCCTTTTTTCATTGATTTAATTCCTTTTCATCTTTTATTTCTTTATATTTCAGAGTATTACAGGGGTACACATACCGTGGTGATGTAGTTCGCATTTGTGTAATTTAAGTCAAAGTTGTAAGTGTGCCCTTCACCCAGAATACGTGCATTGCACCAGTTAGATATGAATTTCCCTCCCCTTCACCCCCGTCCCACCTACTTGGGTCCGTTGCATTTTATTTCCATATGTGCACATAAGAGTTGATTGATTAGTTCCAGTTTAGTCTTGAGTACATTCATCTTTTAAAACATCTATTGAATTTTAAAAATTGGTGCTGTTGTATCTTAAATTCAGAGGGCCCTTTTGTATATACCCTAAGTGTTTTCTTGTTTTTTTGTACTTTTGAGGTTATTGATGCTGAGGTAACACCCTCTCTCACACCATTTTAATGGGGAGACTTTCATTCAATCTCTGTTTTGGCCTCTGATTTCCATGCTGTCTGGGGTCTCTGGGGTCCCCAGACCAATCTGGTTTAGTTTCTGTAGAGTAAGGGTGAGGGTTAGAGTCCCCGAGGGGATCCAACTGCTCTCAGCAAAGGCTTTCAACCCTACTGATGGCCTCAGCCCTTAGCTTCACAGTGCCTGGACCTTCAGCTCCCAAGCTTTCTGGGTCATGAGGCACAAAGGGTTCCCCTTCTTGGCCTTTTTACGTGCTAGTGGGTGTAGTGTCTGCCGCATCCTTTGCTATCCTCTCTTCGCTTGCTTCTCCCCTGGTGCACCTTTTCCCCTATTTGTCTGTCCTTAGGTCTGTGTGTGTCGGGGGTAGGGTGGGATGGGATGTGTAGTTAAGAATTTTCTTTTATTCCTTTACATACATTTAAATGTAGTCAGGAGTAGAAGTGCAGAAAAGTTTACAGATTCAGTCTGCCTTGTTTAATGCAAGCTGAACATTATTTTAATGGTAGCATATTGTTTTAAGATTATACTAAAATTTTTCCATCAGTCCCTACTGATAGGTGTTTGAGTTGTAGTTTTTGCTATTGGAAGCCATAATGCAGAGTACGGTTTCTATGCATTCTCATTCTTGTTTAGAAATAGACCTGCAGGACACATTGCTACGGGTTAAATGGGTGTTTGACTATTTGGTAGTTATTAGATGATCATAGGTAACATTAGTCTTTCAGTGTTTTCCAACAGAATGTGTGAGAAATGGGGTCTCATTTTATTTTCAAAAATTCTTCCTGAGTGAAATTGAGTATCTTTTCACAAGCTTTCTACCCCAGTATATTTGCTTTGTTGTGAATTTCTTAGTTTACTTTGCCCATTTTTTTCGGTGGAGGCGTTCATCCTTTTATTGTAATAAAGCATTCTTTGTGCATTAAGACAGTAATCTTTTATGAGATGTTTCGAAAATACTGCCCTCACTTTGTTCTATGTCTTTCGACCTTACAGACAGGAGTTTTGGTCACTCAGAACAGGTAAAATGCCCCTAGGCCGGTTTAGCAGGCCTCCCTTTTATGCCATTGTCATGTTAAGTCTAGCTCAGAAAGGCCTTTCCCATGCCAAGATTATTTTTTAAACCCTCTAATATATTTATGGTTTATTTTATACATTAAAAACCTTAGATTTAAGGAGCTTATTGTGTTATAAGGCATACAGTAGGGTCTCTACTGGTTTTGTTTCCTGCGTACCCAGCCAGTTGTCCTCAGCGATTCTTCCAGTAGAGGATAAAGCAGTCCTCCCACCTGGGCCTGTCTCAGCACTGGGAGGAATGAATGGTCTAGGACCATTGGCTGGGTACGCAGGGAACAAAATCCTTCCCCAGTTCCTGGCTTTAGTGCTCTGAGTTTCTCATCATTTTCTGAATGACTGAGTTCTCAGATTTCTTCCTGGATTTGCTCTTTAGTCCCATTGATCTACTTTTTGCCCTTGTGTGTACCCTACCCCCACCTCACCCTCATTCAATTACTGTCGCTTTAGAATGTTGACTGTCTGGAAGGCCAGTTCCTGTACACACACCTTTTTCTTTACAATGATTGATGATCCTTCCTAGATAACCTCTTTCTTCTTTTTTAAAGAATACTTTATTTATTTATTTTTAGAGATAGAGCTTCTTGAACTGCTGGCTTAAAGCAGTCCTCCCACCTGGGCCTCCTGCCCTGGGATTATAGGCATGAGCCCCTGTGCCTGGCTCTTACTTTCTTTACGTTGTTCTTTTAACTTGTATATGGGCATCTTAGTTCTGAATCAAGCTGACATTTTCAACCTCCCCAGACTTTCTTCAAGTCACCTTTTTCCTCCAGCTTCCAGCTCTGGGGGTATATCTTACCAGAAGCCGCCTCCTGATTTAGATTTTTTCCCGTTCCGCCAGTCTCACTACAGTTGGCCAGGCCTAAGTACCAGCCCCTTTGGATCCACAGTGAATTGCTGTGTTCTTTCACCAAACAATCCTTAAAAAGCCCCCGAGGGCTCTGATGGAAGAGAGGCTTCTATTTGAAGTAATGACATTGTTTTGGTATCAGTTAGTGATGATGCTTGCAGGACCTTGTCACTATACTAAAGGACACTACCCTGTACATTGTAAAGGGTGCTTTTTATAGGATGTGAGTTGTGTCATAAAATAAAACCAGAAACAGGCCCCAAATAACAAGAGTTATCCAGGGAAGGAGGAAAGATTCTTAGAGCTAAGCTAAGGATTTTTCTTAGGCAGAAAAATTTAGCTTTGGATTTTGCAGAGGTTGAGACAAAACAGGAAACCCAGAGACCCTTAGGCTCCTGATGAAGGCGTATACTTTGCAGGAGGGGTGGACTTTTTCTGATGCTCACTTAGTGAACAGTAGTTTTGTGAAAGATGAGGAGACATTCATTGCTAACACATGCTGCTGGTCCTGGGGGAGCTGTGTTCTGGCTTTTCTTTCTCTCTGATCCTTGCAGCAATTTGGGTCTCAGGGGTTTTCCAGAGGCGCCCTCTGTCCATGTGGCATGTGCCCTGTGAGGCAGCCTGCGCATTGGCTTTGCGCTTGCTCTTGGGCTGAGAAGCTCTTATCCTCATTGAACGAGTCTGGCCCTTAAGCTGTTTTCTCTCATCTGTTCCATACAAAGCCTGGAGGTTTTTTTTTTTAATTTATTTTTTATTAG